ATATGTATATATATATATTTTTTTTTTTTTTTTTGAGATGGCGCTTTGCTCTTGTTGCCCGGGATGGAGTATAGTAGTACGATCTCAGCTCACTACAAGCTCTGCCTCCCGGGTTCAAGCGATTCTCCTGCCGCAGCCTTCCGAATAGCTGGGATTACAGGCACCCACCACCACATCTGGCTAATTTTTTGTATGTTTAGTAGAGACAGGATTTCGCCATGTTGGGCAGGCTGGTCTTGAACTCCTGACCTCAGGTGATCCACCTGTCTCAGCCTCCCAAAGTGCTAGGATTACAGGCCCAAAGTATATTCTTAATCTGCCACTTCTTAACTGCCTTACAGCTATAAGCCTAGCTCAAGCCCCTACTGTCTCATGCCCCTACTGTCTCACATCTGGACTAAGGCAGAAACCCAGGAATGGGCTTCCCTGATTCTCTTTCTGACCTTCAGTAGTCCATTCTAAACATAGCAACCAGAGGGAGCATTCAGTAACTGAAATCTGATCATGTGCCTCTCCCCTGCTTCCCACTGCGGTTAGAGTAAAATCCACACTGCTGCAGGCCCAGCGTGATGGGGACTTGTTAACCTCCTAATAAAAACAAAAACATTTTTAAAAGAGTGATTTTATGTTATGTGAATTATATCTCAAAGCCATTTAAAACAAATAAAACCAGAAACAGAAGAATGAAGTTCATATATAGACTTTTAACCATGGTTTTGTCTTTTTTTTTTTTTTTTTGAGAGGAGGAGTGCAAAATTCATGCTTAAATGAGCTCTCTTGATACATAATTTACATACCGTAAAATTCACCCATCTAAAATGTACAATTTCATGGTTCTAGCATATTCACATATTTTGCTGCCATTACCAATATCTAATTTCATGAAATTTCTTTATTTTTATTTCTATTTTTTGTAGTGATGGGAGTCTTGCTATGTTGCCCAGGCTGGTCTCAAACTCCTGGCCTCAAGTGATGCTCCTGCCTCGGCCTCCCAAAGTGCTGGGATTATAGGTGTGAGCCACTGTGCCTGGCCTAATTTTATAAAATTTCTGTCACCCCCAAAAGAAATGGCATACTCAGTAGCAATTACTTCCCATTTTCCCCACCCTTATCCCCTAGCAACCATCAATCTGCTTTCTGTCTCTATGGATTTGCCTATTCTGGACATTTCATAGAAATGGAATTATACAATAGGTGAACGTCTATGACTGTCTTCCTTCGCTTAGCATAACGTTTTCAAGCTTCATCTATGTACCAATACATCCTTGTTATGACTGAGCAATATTCCATTATATGGATAGACTGCATTTTGTTTATCCATTCATTAGTTGATAGAAATTTGGGTTGTTTCCACATTTTGGCTTTTAGGAATAATACTACTATAACCATTCATGTACAAGTTTTTATGTGGACATATGCCTTCATTCATTTATACCTGCGAGTGGAATTGCCGGGTCATATGGCAACTATGTTTAACCTATTGAGAAACTACCAGATTGTTTTCCAAAGCAGTTGCACACACGAGCAATGTCTGAGGCTTCCAATTTCTCCACATTTCACCAACACTTACTATTTTCCTTTTTAAAAAATTATAGCCATCCTAGTGAGTGGGAAGTGGTATGTTGTGGTTTTAGATTTGCATTTCCCCAACGACTAATCATGTTGAGCATATTTCCATGTGCTTATTGGCCATTTGCATATCTTCTGTGGAGAGTGTGTATTCAGATCCTTAGTTCATTTTAAAATTGTGTTGTTTGTCCTTTTTATTATGGAGTTGTAAGAGTTCCTTATACATTCTTTGTATATTCAAGTCCCTTATAAGATACATGATTTGCAAAAATTTTATCCCACTCTATGGGTTTTTTTTTTTTTTTTTTTGACTTTCTTCATGGGTGTTCTTTGAAGCACAAAATGTTTTAATTTTGATAAAGTGCAATTTCTTTTTTCTCTTGCTGCTTACACTTTTGGTATCATATCTAAGAAACCATTGCTTAACCCAAAGTCATGAAGATTTGCTCCTATGTTTTCTTCTAAGAACTTTATACTTTTAGCTCTTACATTGAGGTCTGTGATCCGTTTTGAGGTAACATTTGTATACGGTGTGAATTAAGGATCCAACTTCATTCTTTTGTGTGTTGGCTTTCTAGCTGTCCCAGCACCATTTGTTGGAAAGATTTTCTTTCCCTCATTCAATTTTCTTGCCACCCTTGTTGAAGATCAGTTGACCGTAAATGTCAGAGAGTTCATTTCTGTGCTTTCTGTTCTGTTCCATTGATCTGCATGTCTGTCCTTACGCCAGCACCACTGGCATTGATTACTGTAGCTTTGTGATAAGTTTTGAAAATGGGAAGTATGAGTCCTCCTACTTTGTTCTTTTTCAGGATTATTTTAGCTCTTCCAGATCCTTTGAATTATTGTTGGTGTTTCTCTTATAAATAAATGTATAAAAATTGAAATGGTCCTAATTGAATGTTCCTGTATTTAGATAGCTCATGGGAAGTCAGCAGCAGAATGGGAGAAAATGCTGTTGGCCTTGCCATTTTCTCATTTGACTTTGTCGTGCTTGATCCATTGTTTAATATTTACCTGCCTCACCATGCCTGCACATTTGGGTGTTTTTGTTCAGATGAGCAATGCAAGTAGGTGCAGTGTTTCTGAATAGTGTACTACAAAATTAGGGGAAGAAGAGATAACTTAGTAATATATTTACTTGTCTTTATAAAGCTTCTCCAGCCTGTCACCACAGCACATTTTCCTCCAGATAGCTCTGATTTTCCAGCACAAGGAATCTTAACTGTAAAGTCTATTCTCATTTCTCAATATTAAGAGTCACAGCCGGGCGTGGTGGCTTGCACCTATAATCCCAGCACTCTGGGAGGCCGAGGCGGGAGGATCACTTGAGGTCAGGAGTTCAAAACCAGCCTGGGCTACACGGTGAAACCCCATCTCCACCAAAAAATACAAAAATTAGCTGGGCGTGGTGGTGTGTGCCTGTAGTCCCCAGCTACTCGGGAGGCTGAGGCAGGAAAATTGCTTGAACCTGGGAGGCCAACATTGCAGTGAGCCAAGATTGTGCCACTGCACTCCAGCCTTGGTGACAGAATGAGACTCCATCTCAAAAAAAAAAGGAGTCACAAAAGCTCTATTTTCTTTTAGAGGCAGAGTCTTGCTCTGTTGCTTAGGCTGGAGTACAGCAGCACAGTCATAGCTCACTACAGCCTCAAACTCCTGGTCTCAAGCAATTCTGCCACCTCAGCCTCTTGAGGAGCTGGGACTATACTTGGCTAATCTTTAAATTTATTTATTTATTTATTTTTTGTGGAGACAAAGTCTCACTGTGTTGCCCAGGCTAGTCTCAAACTCCTGCCTCAAGCAGTCCTCGCAATGTGGCCTCCCAAAGTGCTGGCCTTATAGGCTTGAGCTACTGTGCCCAGCCCACAAAAGCAAACCTTCCACCAGAATTGAAAATTGCATTTGTTGTTGGTGGACCCTGTCATCCTGTGGTTGTTAGAAAGTTCTCACTCTGCCTTTCCATAGCCACAGTTGTCAGATGCTACCTAACTTCAGCAATATGTTTTTCCAGGACAGCAAGCAGTGCGTTTTCATTCATCCCGCCATCAGGCCATGAGTGGGAAGAAGGTGGGGCTGGGACCTAGTAAATGTTCATGAAGTTTTCAGCGTTTGAATTCACTTCATTATTCAAGTCCTTTTCTTGGTGTAATACTAATTCTTGATGATGTGAAGAAGAGTTTATTTCCAATGTTCTTTTTTGTTTTTCAGGATGTATATACAAAGACGATATCTTTATGGTCGTATATCAATAGCCAGCTAGATGAGTTTTCTAATCCCTTCTTTGTGAATTATGAAAACCATGTGTTATATCCTGTTGCTAGTCTGAGTCATTTGGAATTGTGGGTAAACTATTATGTACGATGGAATCCACGGAAGAGACCTCAGGTATCTTTTTGTTTTTCTTTTCATGAATGAGAGAGTATGCTTTTTTTTCCAAGTAAAGATGGTGGTATGAAAATGTGTTAATGGTAGATATTAACATACCATACTAACGTCTTCTGCCCTTGCCTGTCAGGGTTCAATCCTTTGCATTCATGTTCCAGGAGGTTCTGCCCGTACACCAACTCTGATGCTGTTTGCTGGGTTAAAGTTAAAAACCTTAGCACTTCTGTCTCGTGCTGATGAGATACGTAAAATGCCATGTGTTCCAGTGCTTGACCCTTTGTCTTATAAACTACTTTACTGCAGGTCTGGAGGGTGAGGTGGCAGCCCTTCTCCCTGTTTCCACATAGACGTGGTAGAAAGACGTGGGAAATGCATCAGGTTACAGTACATAGACCCTGTTAGTCCAGCAGTAGGAGGGCAGGTTGCTGAGTCACAGAACAGGTGCTCCTTTGAAGAAGGGGGAGAGTTTGCCCCTCCCTGCCACACTTTTTCACTATAATATTTTCTGAGATTGAACAAAATTAGAGAATGGTGCACTACAGGGGCCAGTCCGCCAAGCCTGTGTCCTGTCTTTGTGTTCAGTGGCTGAGCTCTGGCTGCGGGTTCCTGAAGGGCTCCCCACATCCTCCACTGTGTTGTGGTTTGGATTCCGTCCTGCCCTGCACCCCCAATCTCCACCTGGGTGGCCAGGGCGTGATTGGTTCTGGGTGGTGAAGAAGACGGGTAGAGGCAGCCTGTACCTCCATGGACAGGTAACTGTCTGCTGAGACTTTTCTTTTTCTTATTTATTTATTTATTTATTTATTTATTTATTGTTTGAGACGGAGTCTTGCTCTGTCACCCAGGCTGGAGTGCAGTGGCATGAGCTTGGCTCACTGCAACCCCTGCCTCCCAGGCTCAAGTGATTCTCCTGCCCCGGCCTCCCAAGTAGCTGGGATTATAGGTGCACAGCACCACGCCTGGCAAATTTTTGTATTTTTAGTAGAGACAGGGTTTTGTCATGTTGGCCAGGCTAGTCTCAAACTCCTGACCTCAGGTGGTCCACCCGCCTCGGCCTCCCAAAGTGCTGGGATTATGGGCGTGCACCACTGGGCCAGGCCTGAAATTTTTCTTTTGAGTTGAATACTCTCAGAGTTTAACTGCAGTCCATCAGGAGCGTGTACGCAGGGCATTGTTGAACAGCATTGCTCTGTCAGCCAACGATACAGAAATCTGTCTTTCCTCTCCATCCTCCTGCTCCCCCATCCCTCTCACCTAGGGTATTCCTGATCTCCATATCATCTCCATGCTCCACTAGCCATGGGGCAGTCTGAACTGCTCATGTTCCTTTTCAGCTGCCTGGCCCTGGAACCTCAGGGATACGTCACTATAGTACCCCAGCCTGCCAGCTGGAAAGCTCCCTCACTGGTAGCCTTAGCTCCATGATCCATCTGCTGGGTGTGCCCCGCTGCCCCAGGCTGCTGCTTGGCCACTCCTTACTGGATCCTTTGCCCTCTACCACAGACCAGGCTGGTCATCACTTGCCTCCTCTTTCCCAGATGGCTTTCTGTTTTGTTCCACACAGCTTCTGCTGCAAATGCTTTTCTCCTCTGGACCCTCTGAGTTGGCCCTGCCACCCTTACGACCTCAGGAGTGTTTTCCAGAACACTGTGATCGGTGCTCACTCAGCCCAGTACTTGTACGCTGGGCCTGGGGAGGTGGGAAGGAGTCCTGGCTGTGGGGGAGCTCCTGCATCCCAGGGTTGCCCTTAGCCACATCTCCCCTGTACATGCCCTGCCCCTGCTTGAAGCAGATGCCCCATGTGAATGAGCTACCCTTTGTGTCTTCACATGTATGAAAACAACTAGTGTTTGGTCACCTCTTTCAGCTCTTCCCACAGTCTTCCTTGGATAGGAGAGACTTGCATCTGTGTCCCCTTCCCACTAGCCAGGGAGCTGCTGGGACTCATGCTGCCCTGGAGCCTTTCCTGTTGAGCGCCCTCTTCTCTGTTCACCTCGTGCTCTGGTGGCCCTATGTTTATTGCCCAAACTAGCCTACTTTGAGAAAGAGAGCGGAGGTGCTGGTAATAATCGGTCTGCAGAATTCCCCAGGGTATTCAATACTGCACTGGCGTATTTGCCTGCCTGCTGCTGCACCTACAGACCACAGGCTTTGAAACCACAGGGCCCTCAGGATCTAACATGGTGTTTGGCAACTAACAGAGACTCGACAAATGTGACTGACTGAACGCATGAGTGAATGAAGAGGCGCGCCCCTCAGCTGCAGGCCAGTTCCTCCCGCACATCTGCTCTCTCCAGCCCCTTGAACCTGCGTTTATTCCTGCTACCTCTGGTGGCTCTTGCCCCTCAGCCTACAGAGGACTCACACCTGCCCACCCTAAACGTGTCCTGTCCCCACTGGCCTCTCCCTCAGGTCTCCCCTCCACACCCAATCCTCTGGGATATTGGAACAGCCTTCCACCTACTCTCCCTGCCGCAGTCTGCCTTGAGTCCACGTTCCACCTTCCTGTGGAGAGGCCTTTTGCTCCTGCTTGACAGCCCAGACATCACCTTCTGTGGCTGCCCAATGGCTCCAGCTCCCCACGTCCTCTGCCACTTGGCTACCATCTGAGCTTCTGGCATCATCTTAGCTTCCTTCTTCCTCTTTAAAAAAAAAAAATTACATTTCTGGCCGGGCACAGTGACTCACGCCTGTAATCCTAGCACTTTGGGAGGCCGAGGTGGGCAGATCACGAGGTCAGAAGTTTGAGACCAGCCTGACCAGCATGGTGAAATCCTGTCTCTACTAAAAATACAAAAATTAGCCAGGCGTGGTAGTGCACGCCTGTAATCCCAGCTACTCAGGAAGCTGAGGCAGGAGAGTCGCTTGAACCCGGGAGGCGGAGGTTGCAGTGAGCCGAGATGAGATCGCGCCACTGCACTCCAGCCTAGGCGACAGAGTGAGACTCCGTCTCAAAAAAAAAAAGAAAATTATATTTATCTCTCCCTTTAGACTTCCTGCTCTGCAAGACTAGTCCCTGCTTATTATTAATTGATCTTTTAAGTTATTAATCTAATAACTGCTTGTCATTAGATTGAATCCTTCCCCAAATGAGAATTGAGTTTGAAGGCGAGCTGTCTTTGAAATGGCCCATGTGCCCAGAAACTATCAGTGAGCGTGAGAGGTTGCTGGTCCCATTAGCATCTTCTGTCCTGGCTTTCAGCCCAAGACGTCTATGTGCAGGGTGACCTGCTGCCCTGTCACTGGAGTCCAGGTCCAGCACTGCTCTCCTTTCTGACCTCAGGTGCATTATTTAAGATGCTAAACACAGGGGCCCATCAAGCACTTCTTGCCAGTCAGTGGTCAACTTGGGAACCAAAGCCTACATCCCCCTTCCAGCACCTTCCTCTTCACTGGTGTGTATTTCTGCTTAGGCATTTTGCTGAGTTTTTCCGTCCTGGGTGGCTTCTATTTCACCTGTTTTAGCAACAGGGAAGACAGGCTACAGAGTGTCAGAAGTCACTGTGTTATTTAAATCACACAGGGTTACCAGGTAATATTCTTGGTGACTCAAAGGACCAGGTGGTTGGTGGAATGTCATTAACATTAGCAGAAAATCCAACAGAACTATGCCTGATCTGAAGTGCCTTTGGCTAAACGGAGCCTCTCGATTACTGCAGGAGGCCCCCGTGCCCCCGCCATGCTCTCCCTTGTGCAGCAGGTTGCAGAGGTGAAGAAATGCTGAGCAGCAGAGAGGGTTAGAGTGGGGTCCCACGGGGGCATACCCAGGCTCAGATTCTTGCCCCCCACGTGAGGCAGGGAACAGATCTTTCCTAAAACCTACAAACTGCGTGACAGATCTGTTCCCAGATGTGGCCAGATTCTCACACACGTAAGCGAAGTCACCTGCAATGATGATGATGGAAACCACAGCAAAAGCGCCTGTAAGCTGCAGTCCTCTTGTGTGCCAGTGGGCTGTGTACACACATGACCCCAGTTAACACTCCCAGCAATTCCACGATGCAGAGAATGAGGGAAGGGTCAGACAAGCAGTGACTTGGTTGAGATCTTGCTGCCCAGTGCGTGTAGTTGTGGAAGGATGCCCCCGACGGGGTCAGATCCCGTCTCTGCAGTGACTCACCGCCTGATCTGCGGCAGGGTCCTGAGCCTTGCTGGGACCTCACAGGGGATTATTGATCAGGAAGTGAATCCATTCCAAGTGCACTGTGCTCGGAGGGTAATAGGTGGGTGGTCCTGCTTTTTGCATTCTCCCTCCACTGTGCTACACAGAAGAGAGAACCAAGAAAGAGTACATGGGCCACAGCTTGTTATCCTATATGCAATAGGCATGGGTCGGACACCTCCTAGGTGTGGACAACAGTGTGTTGGGGAATGGGCTGGGCCTTGGTGATGATGGACGCTGGGGAGGTAGGTTGGAGTTTGGACTTCATTCCAGGGTTTGTGGGAACCATCCCAGGGTTTGCATGACAAAGCCAACTGTATGTTCTAGAAAGCTCACTCTGGCGGCATCGAGGTGGATGGGAATGGGGGTTGGGGAGTGCAGTGAAGACAGGCAGAGATCAGTGGCTGGTGTGGGTGTCCAGTGACAGGGCCTGAGGAGCCAGGTGGGGCAGAGAGGAGGAGGAAGAGAGGGGAGGGGAGGGAGTACGGGGGTAAACAGCAGGGGAGATGCAAGCCTGTTGGGCCTCTTTTCTCTGAGAAGGCAGTAGCTCGATTGGCTGCCGAGAAAGGGGTTCTCTGGGCATCCATCAGAGGATGGCTGGGTGTGGAAGGCCCATGGGCATCCTGTTTCCTTTGGGACTGTCTTGCCTTATGTCTTGTGATGCTAGCACCCATGGGGCAAACATGACTGGCCCTTAGATGGGAATTTTCTCTAACGCAATCCTCTGTTTAAGCCTCCGAGTTTTCTATTCCTTCAGGCATGCCCTTGATTTGTTGCAAATGAACATATGTGAGTAGGCCGGCGCGGTGGCTTATGCCTGTAATCCCAGCACTTTGGGAGTCCAAGGTGGGCAGATCACTTGAGGTCAGGAGTTCGAGACTAGCCTGGCCAACATAGTGAAACCCCATCTCTATTAAAAATATAAAAATTAGACACAGTGGTGGCGAGCACCTGTAATCCCAGCTGCTCAGGAGGCTGAGGCAGGAGAATCGCTTGAATTTGGGAGGTGGAGGTTGCAGTGAGCTGAGATCGTGCCTCCAGCCTGGGAGAGAGAGTGAGACTGCACTCCGCCTCAAAAAAAAAAAAAAAAAAAAAGAAAAATATGTGAGAAAAGATGCAAACAGCTGGTGAAGAAGTGATAGCAGTGCGTTTGAGCAGTGCTGGGCCTCTGCCCTGGGTGTGTGTCAGTGGTGTATTTCCCTGCGTGTCTTGCTTCTTGCTGAGGCCACATGCCCGTAGATGGATAATGGGAGCTTGATTGCAAGGCCTTCCCTTATCTGATCAGAATTAAATGATCCTACAGACAGGAAAATATACCAGATGGGTCCTAAGGGTAAGAGAGGAGCTGGTGCCACCTCCCAGAGGCCCCTGGGATCTGCCTTTGCCATCACACTCCACTCCTGTCCCCTCTCTTCTTCCTGTGACCTGCCCAAGGGGGCCATTTGTTCTCAGCCCACTGGGTGCTGGTTACTGAGCACCCTGTTATTAGAGGGACCTGGCTGCTGTCTTGCAGTCTTGCTTTCATCCTCCTTCCGTCTCCGCCCTCTCTCCAGGAGGGCTGATCACCGTTGGCACACACGGTGGTACAGCTCAGTCTTTGAGGGAGTGGGGGCAGGACCTGGTGAAAGGTGAGCCAGAGGGCCAGGCTGGAACCAGACTGCAGAGGGCCTTGAGGCCCCTCTCAGGGCAGGGGGAAGAAGCCCCTGGAAGGTGTTAAGTGGCCAGTCACAGGGCCTGGCTGAGGCTTAGGAGCCAGCCCTATGGCTGCTGTTTACACACGGGATCAGAGACCAGGGAAGGCTGGAGAGCTCCCCAGACACCACCCTGTTTCTCCCTCAGACCCAGTCTGAGGCTCTGGTCAGCCTTGCCCCCAGCCAAAGAGCTCCAGGCGAGAAAAGCTGGGTCTTGGATGTCTCGCACCCTAGTAGCTGCTGGGGACAGCTTCTTAGGCGAGTGGGTTGGGTGCTATGACTATAAAATAGCAGGACTGGATGTCCCATATGCCCCAGGAAAACCTTTCTTGTTTATATTCACCCCTGTCTCGCAGTTGATGGGTTTAAAAGAGAAAAGCTAATTAGGGTGAGGCATTGCGGTGATGCTGAGCAAGGAGCAAGGGCCTGGTCCCTTGGGGAGGCTCCCCACCCCCACCGGCACCGCCCGCTCCAGGGGGCTTCTGGCAGATCCTGCTCCGGTTGATGGAAACACAGCTTCAAGTTGTAGAAAGTGCTGATTGCACAGAAGGATTTTCAGTCAGCAGAGCTATTTATAAAAATGCAAAAATACAGAGATAATGGAGATGCTGGAAAGGGGTCTGCGTGTAAACATTTCTGACGCAGTCTTGAGGACACTGCTTGCGCCGAGTCTGCACACGGTGCCCTTGGTTGATCCGTGGTGCGCAGTGTCCCCGCGCCTGCTTGTCTTCTGAGAAACTGTGGGAGCCTCCCCATGGTGCCTTTTCATCCCGGCTCAGCAGCTCAGCCTCCGGAGCTGCAGGACAGCCTCAGTGGCAGCCAAAGCTCATGGAATGGGGTCCCATTGTCCACCTGACGCGAGATGAGTCAACGCCTCAGGAGACTTTGGCCACTCCAGGAGTCTGGGTGGTGAAAAACTCCTGAAGCCAACAGCATCTCCATGTGGAAGTGCTGTGGTAGGAGGATGGCCTGATAATGCAGCTTTGTCTCTGTTCCCTCCAGATGCCCATTCACCAGAATCTCAAGGAGCTGCTGGCCGTCAGGGCGGAGCTGCAGAAGCGTGTGGAGGGCCTGCAGCGGGAGGTGGCCACACGTGCTGTCTCATCCTCATCTGAGCGGGGCTCCTCGCCCTCCCACTCCGCCACCTCCGTCCACACCTCAGTCTGACGAGCGAGGCCACCCTGCTGCCCCACTGTCTGCCAGCGGCTCAGGAAAGGGGCCTGGCCATCACCGTTATGGCTGTAGCTTGTGATCTTGTCTTTTAGGATTACGCCCAGGGACCATTTGTGTGGCTAGGTGACAGCTCCCACTGTTGGCAAGTGCTTTTTGTTTTGTGAACAGCCCGTTACCCTCCTGTCAGCGGTTTCACAGGGGAGCCGTCTGTCACATCCACCCTGTGAAGCAACTTCTAGCGTCCAGGCAGCTTGGGAGAAACTAAGTGAATGGATTGCAGTACTGAGGTTCAAGAAAGCTGTGCGCCATTTCTTTCCAAGTTAAATCCTTCAGTAACAACAAACACCATTCACTTCAAGACGCATTGCCAGCCCCATGGCTTCCCTCAGCTCTTGGCCACAACTTGAAAACTGTTTTGAATGAAGTACTTGGGGAGAAGACAGACCACTGCCCTCTGTTCCACAGTTCTCTTCATGCACGGGGTCCTCCTGTAACAATTACTGTTGTGTACATACAAGGTATTTTTAGAGAAGAGAAACAGGCCTTTATTTTCCTATGTCCTTTTTTACGTTTAGAATAGTCACCTGAGGAGAGATCAGCTCAACTGTACTGTGGGAGAAATTATTTTCCAACAAACCTCATGCTCATTTTTCTGTGGTGCATTTGAAATGGGATTTGAACATGGTCATTTCAAGGACAACGTGTTCTGTCCTCACCTCACTCTGGTACTCACCTCTTGGGGCGGCTCAGCCCATTCATGGGGACAGCACCAAGCGGCCATGCTCAGTCTTCCAGCCCCGCTGAGGGTAAACCGAAGCCTCTGGCAGCTGTGCACAGGTGCTGGCCTCTCGCTCCTTCAAGGAGCGCTGCCTGTCACTCGCTCCTGGGCTGTCTGGCCATGCTTCCCACCACCACTTTACCGCTGCCAGCTGCCAGGATCAAAGCAAGTCTGCTCTTATGTTATTTGCCTGTATGGAATCATTTCTCATTTTATCACAGTTCCTTCAACTCAGCTTACTCACATGGCTGCCTGTTAATATTTGAAAGCAGCCACTGTGCTGTGGCTTTGGTTTGGAAAAGCATAGCACGCACTTCCCTTGGTTTTCCCTTCCCAGAGCCGACCACAGCTGGTCAGCCCTCTTCCCGCTCCCGAACCTTTACTGACTGACTGTGAGCTCTGTGACTCCATCAGTCCTCGCAGGAATTAATTTACCACCCATTGATTCAATCCACTTGTGCGCCATAGCTCTGAGCTCCTCTGTGTGACATGCCACAGATGATTATTGCACACCTGGGTCCTGCCCCAGCAGGCCATGCCCCTCCCTCATGCTGTGCCCGTTGCTGCAACTTCCCCCCACCCCACCACGGGCTGCAGGAATTCAGCCTTTAGAGGCAGAGGCGGCTGCAGCGGCTCCTAAGGTCAAACCCCAGCGTGACTGCATAACAACGTTAGCTGGCTGTTTTCAAATTACTGGATTCCAGGCAAAGTCCTACAAATTGACCTTATTTTTGAAAATATGTTAAGGGTTTTTTTAATAGAGAATGGATTTTTTTAAAAAAAACTGGGAGCCTCCTGATTCTTACTGAAAATTATCCTTCTATAAGAGAGCAGAGAGATTTATTCAAGGTAATTTGATAACCTAAAATCAATTCTCCATTTTTATCACATGTGGGATTTGTTGCTAAATCATATTCGACATTAGCTTTTATGTTCCTGACATATCTGAACGTTATTTATGAATGGATAAACTGGATTATAGATATACTGATTTTTTTTTTAATGGGGACATTTCCCATTTTCTTCTCAGACATATGTAATCCCCTGGCTGACCAGGACTATTAAACATAGTGTGGACTGGATGATGCCTTCGACAAACCAGAGAAGCCAAGTTGTGGGGAGCTGGTGCCTGGAGTGGGCCCTGTGCACCTCACCTGGCGGAGGCTGGGGGGCTCCGTCAGCAGGACCCTACAGACTCCTATTCCATTTTAAAGAAGCACAACGGGTCATTTCCCTTTGTATGTTCCTAGTGCAGAACTGTTTCTAAAACATCTTGAAGTATAGTTTTGTTATCCAAGCAATTTTTGTTTTATGTGTACTAGAATGCGAAACCTTTACGGTTCAGGTTTTTAAAAACTGGTACAGTATTGTATTTGTCTCATCTGTTGCACTGTATTTCAATCTGTAATTAAAATGATCTTATGTTTGCTCCCTGGTCTTTTTTAAGTATCTCAGATTTTTCCTTTGAGGAAAATCAGTAATAAAATCACATGGATTGAACGTTGACTGTGTGTCAAGCACAGTTAATATATGTGAAGTACCTTTATGTGATTTAATTCATTCACTAAATCATAAACGTGTCATGGGGCTTGCGTATTTTGGCTGAAACAGGAAATACTGACTGTGAAGTCAGAAATGCCCTCAGCTCTAACCTTGAGAAAATGTGGACGACTTGGAGAAAGGTCTGGAGACACCTGAGAGTCAGCGCGATGAGGCAGTCCTTCGTGCGCAAGCACAGTGCCTTCTAAGGCCCCAAACTGCCCCCACCCCAGAGGAGTGTTCACCTTTTCAGGGCTAAAAAGGCCTGGATGAATTTGCAGCACCCTTGGTGTCCTGTGTGTGTCGGTCTTCTTGTGAAGGGTATGGGGTCCCTGTCCTTCTCCACACACGTCACTACTGAGTGAGCCAGAGCGCCCGGTATTTATTAGGCACAGAGGATGCCCAGGGGGCTGCTTGCCACTCAGCCTTCCCCAGCAGTGAGATCAGAGCAGCAAGCAAGGCCAGGAGGGCCGCTGCACCAGGCCCCCGCTAGCCACGCAGAACTCTGCACAGGAGAGGTACCTGGTGGTCTCAGGTTTGAGAGGACCTGGTGCTGTTTCACTAGAAGCAAAGGTTGGCAAAACAGAACGAAACAACCGGCCTCCATGTTAAAACCCGGGGTCCACTGCATCTTGTTTTCATGGTGAAATGCCCTGAAATGTCTTCTCAATTTGAAGCTAAGATGCCAGCTGATGAGAAGGACAGACTTTATCCCAAACAGGCCACTCTCCATGAGGTTGCAACAAGTGACGAAGTGCAGGGTCCCTTTCTCACTCAGCTTTCTGGTTGAAACAACTGCACATAACCTCCACTGGTTACTAGCCTGCTTTGAAGGCGGCAGAGTAGTCGATTTGGGATTTGCGAGCCTGGGACTCTGCTGCTTCCAGACCCCCAACTGGGCAGCCCCGGACTCGGCAACCCATGTAGCCTGGGAGCGGCCCCGCAGCACTCTGCTCCTGCCTCTGCCCTCTCTAACCCCAGGACATTGGTCGCTCCACATCCCCTGGCCTTAGCTGCTTGTACAGTGAGGGGCCACTCTTGGAAGTCCTGACACCGAGCTAGTCACTGAAGGGTAAATGCAAGCTTCTAGAGAAAAACCTTCGGCTGGGGGCGGGGGGAGGTCAGCTCTGCATCATAAATTACTTTAGGGAAGGCCGGGCGCGGTGGCTCAAGCCTGTAATCCCAGCACTTTGGGAGGCCGAGACGGGTGGATCACGAGGTCAGGAGATCGAGACCATCCTGGCTAATATGGTGAAACCCCGTCTCTACTAAAAAATACGAAAAACTAGCCGGGCGAGGTGGCGGGCGCCCGTAGTCCCAGTTACTCGGGAGGCTGAGGCGGGAGAATGGCGTGAACCCGGGAGGCGGAGCTTGCAGTGAGCTGAGATCCGGCCACTGCACTCCAGCCTGGGCGACAGAGCGAGACTCCGTCTCAAAAAAAAAAAAAAAAAAAAAAATTACTTTAGGGAAAAGTAGCAACACTTGACCAAGGGCGTGCTGTAACACCATCAGAAGACAAGGATCTGCTTGGTGCCATTTTATTTAATGCAAACACGAGACAGTTTACAACTCGCACCTGGACACAAGCACATGAACAGATGTACAGGGAATTCTAGAATTTTGAGATCAGTCTCCATTTCTTCCTCAGGGCCCCGGCACTGAACCCCAGCCACTGTCCCAGAGCCTCCCCTCTGGGTCCCACCCCAGAAGCCACCCACACCTCCTTCTGCCCATCTTTATCTTTCCTTGAGCTGTGACTTCACCCAGCATGTGCTCAGAGTTGTTACAAATTTTCTCTGCCAAATTAAGCTGATAGAAATTAGCCCCTTTCAACCAGTCCTTCCAGTCCACCGTGTCTCCCCTCTCACCTGGGACAGGTCCATGCTGGCCAGTTCAAACTTCAGCTAGACACACGGTGACTAGAGCCCGCGAGGCTTCTGCAGGTGGCAGTGTCGAGCAAGTTAAGATGTATGTGGGAAGGAGAAGCTCCTGAAATGAACGTTCTGCAAGCAGAAGGCTGAGGGGTCTTCCAGGCATGTCCAGTCACTAGGAGCCGCCACCGGTGGGCTTGAGTGCCAGGCTCCAGGCTCCAGAAAGCACCCGGGTGGGTAAGGGAGAGCAAAATGGGTCTCAACTGCAGTCAGTGCTACTGCGAATGTGGTTTCACAGACAGTACAGATTCTACATCACAGCTCTAGGGTTTCAAGGACTTTGCCATCCGATAGGCCTCACCATAAAGATAAGGTGGACAACCCCTGAGGTCACGCTGTCCAGGTGGCGACAGGCCACGCATGCCAAAAGCCCCCACAGCCACCTCCAGCCCAGCACCAGCCAGAGGGTGGGGCCATCAGCTCTTGATGTACTCGGTGTCAGGGAGGGACAAGCCTGACAAAATTCACAATCTGGCCAATAAGTGCGGGAGGCCCTGGAAACAGGCCAATCCTGCAAGCCACTCCACCCTCACTAACTTCCTGAAGCACTGGAGGCTTCTTGACACCAGGCCAAGGTTTCTTTCCTTCACGGCACCACGCAGAGACATTTCTGCAGTGCTGCAGGTCCCCCTTCAGCCACACAGTCCAGGTCTGTCAGGGATTACAGGCCTGAGCAGGAAAAGGGGTGGTAAGGAGCCCACAGGCACGCACTGGGAATGGCCTCACGAGGCAGCCTGGAGACACAGTGCTACAACTGACTACCCTCCACGACAGGCATGTTTGCAGAACAGACACGAGGCATGCGTTAGACAGATGCATGTGGGGCTACAGATTCCAGTGGTTTCCTTAAGAAACTGGAGTTGGCTCACCCCGC